CCTTCCCTTCCCTTCCCTTCCCTTCCCTTCCCTTCCCTTCCCTTCCCTTCCCTTCCATCATCCAAACACAGAAAGCGCACCTAAGAAGAAGAGGACAGAACAGATACTGCATAACCTCCCAATTATCAGCCCTGGAATCATCCCAAGCAGACCCCATTCTAGAAGAGCAAGACTACACATTACCCATTAGTGGAATTGCTGGGAAAATGGACAAAGAACGCTGGAAGATTTATGGGGACTCAGGCAGCTTAGGTTGGCCTTTCCTTCCTTCCAAGAGCAAAAACTAGACAAATGAGAGTTGAGAAGCAGAAGAGAGAGAGAGGAAGGAAGGGGGGGGAGCCTCTGTCTCTCTTACTTTGTTTGGATGAAATGACCGGTCATCGTGAGCAGGACCAGCCACAGTCCAGAAGGCGAAGGGTTGCAGACCGCATCCTGATGGTTTTGGACAGAGGAGATCAGGGAGTTGTTGCAGCTGGAGAGGAAGGGAAGGGCAGAGGAACTAACTGTGGGAGAAGAGAGGAAAGGTAGAGAATGGGATGGGTGTAGGCTCAGCACAGGAAGGGGTTTTAAGAGTGGAGGGAGAAAGCAAAGGTGGGACGGCCAGAGTCTGCGCAGAGTTCAAAAGAGGGAAGGCAAAGAATGGTTAAAAGTGTGAAAGAAAGAAAAGGCGAGGAGGGGAAATTTGGTTCCGAAAGGAGGCTTGAAGGTACAAGAAGATTTGGTTTTTCCAGAGGCAGGGGATCCAGTGGCAGCGAGGGCTGGGAAAGCAGCTGGGCAGAAGCTGGTGATCATCAGAAAAGGGAGGGGGGCTGGAAAGTTTTTTTCTGGAGCCCTGAAAGGCACAACTGGAGCCCCCGCCCCAACTCCAAGGACAGCTCCAGTTACGCTGCCCAGCCATTGGCTGAGGGCGCCTGGGTGTTGCTTACAGGAAACAAAGAGGGTGGGTGGGGAGAAGGGTGTCAGGCTGCACTTAACCATTTCCTGCCCACAGACGGAACTTTTGCCCAGCCAAAGAAAATGGGGCAGGCTCTTCTTCCATGAAGCATAATCTGTAGTCTTGGCGAAGGGCCCTGCGTTTCAAAGATCCAGGGGATTGGAAGGGAGGCTGCTATTAACGG